CTTGACACATGTCAAAAAGTTATAATTTATTGAAGGATTAATAATGTAATTAATTCTTTGATATCCAATGAACTCTAGTTTTATGATTTGTCACAATTATAAAACTTAGAGAGGGGCAATATTTTCAAAACTTTTGATTAAACAGTTTTCAAAACTCTTCTAATTGATATTTTCAAAACTTTTGAAAATAAAAGAAGAAGAAAAACGATTTTCAAACAAGACAATCTCCCTAGAATGGATCTTGGTATTTGACATGTGACTCTCAGACACAAAGCTCAAGCTTAGAATCAGTGTTGAAGCAATAGAGGGCATTTTTGAAGATTCAACATCAAATGTTGGGGCATCTTTAGGGATTCAACATCAAATGTTAGGGTATCTTTGGAGATTCAACATTAAAATGTTGGGTCATATTTGGAGATTTAATATCGAATATTGGGGCATTCAATATCCTGATGTGAAAGATCAGATCTTCTGAAGGTATTTCCTCCACCAGCAAGAACAAGCAAATTATCAGTATCCTTTGATGTTGTTTCTCTTTTTTTTTAAAAATTTTTTTGTCTCACTTAAGATAATTTCTCAAAACAAATTTTGTCTCACTTGATACACTTTCTCAAAATAAATTTCGTCTCGCTTGAGACAATTTCTCAAAACAAATTCCGTCTCGCTTGAGACAATTTTTCTCTGAGATACAAATTTTGAGACAGATTCCCTTGAAACAAATTTTGTCTCCCTTGAGACAGTTTCCCTTGAAACAAATTTTGTCTCCCTTGAGACGGTTTCCCTTAAAACAAATTGTCTCTCTTGAGACAGTCTCCCTTGAGACAGTTTCCCTTGAAATAAATTGTCTCCCTTGAGATAGTCTCCCTTGAGATAGTTTCCCTCGAAGCAGAAGATTTTATCTCGCTTGAGATAGTTTCTATCGAAGCAGAATATTTTATCTCGCTTGAGATAGTTTCTCTCGAAACAGAAAGATTTATCTCCCTTGAGACGGTCTCCCTTGAGACGGTTTCCCTTGAAACAAATTTTGTCTCCCTTGAGATGGTTTCCCTTGAAACAAATTTTGTCTCCCTTGAGACAGTTTCCCTTGAGACAGTCTCTCTTGAGACAATTTCACTTGAAATATAAGATTTTATCTCGCTTGAGATTGTTTCACTTGAAACAAAAGATTTTATCTCGCTTGAGATAGTTTCGCTTAAAACACAATAGATTGAGAAACCATCGTGATATGTAGGGGTTTCTTGATGATAAGCTTGAAGGACCATCGTGATATGTAGGGGTTCCTTGATAACAAGCTTGAAGGACCATCATGATATGTAGGGGTTCTTTGATGACATGCTTGAGAGACCATCATGATATGTAGAGGTTTCTTGATGACATGCTTGAGAGACCATCGTGATATGTAGGGGTTTCTTGATGACAATCTTGAGGGACCAACATGATATGTAGGGGTTCCTTGGTGACAATTAAGAAATTGAGTCTTCGGGGGTTTCTTGATTTTTAAGTCCTTCGGGCCATCCATAAGACCTTCAGTGCAGGATGTTTTCAAATGAGATCTAAGAAACTGAGCCTTCGGGGGTTTCTTGATTTTTAAGTCCTTCGGGCCATCCATAAGACCTTCAGTGCAGGATGTTTTCAAATGAGATCTAAGAAACTGATCCTTCGGGGGTTTCTTGATTTTTAAGTCTTTTGGACCATCCATAAGACCTTCAGTGCAGGATGTTTTCAAACGAGCTTTTAGAAACTAAACCTTCGGGAGTTTCTTGATTTGTAAGTCCTCCGGGCCATCTGTAAGTCTTCCGAGAATGATGCTTAAGTCCTCCGGGCCATCCATAAGACCTTTAGTGCAGCATGTTTTCAAACGAGATTTAGAAACTAAGCCTTCGGGGGTTTCTTGATTTGTAAGTCCTTCGGGCCATCCATAAGACCTTTGGGCAGGGTGTTTGCAACATTTTAGATACTTAGTTCATCACATATAGAGTTGAATCAACAACACCTCACTCGAGGGACCAACATTGCCAGTAGAGAATTCATGATGAAGAGCTTGTTCAACCTTTTCCTGATTCACGACATCTCAAATCAACAACGCCTCACTAAAGATATCATCATTTCAAATGGAAAGACCAGGATGAAAAGAACCCGCTACTTAAAGAACTAAAGATGAAGACTCAGCCAGAAGAATGAAGCAAGATGACATCATTTGCTGCAAGGACCCGACGAATTTCGCAGGAAGAGAAGAATTGACATTCCCAGTGAAGAGTTCGCAGCATGACAAGAAGAGACCAGGATAAAATTGGTTCTTTATATCTTTTCTCTATTCTCGTTTCACAACAATGAGCAAAGAGGGGCAGCTGTAAGCACTAATATTTTATCCCAAAAAATGTGTTTTCACATAAATTAATAAAAGGGGGCATACCCTACACCACTACTTGCACCATTTCTTTAAATAAATGCCCCATCTTTTGCCCATTGCCTCTCCACGTGAAGAACACCAACAAGCTCCCAAATCACCACCAAGTCACCAAGTTGCCAAATATCGTCATTACCTACGTCAAGCAGCAACCAAAATTAACCAAAAAAATAAGCCATCCACTAAACTTATCTTTTCTCAAAAATTAGGTATCATTACCTAATATACACTACCATTATTCTAACGCCAGTGGAAGACCCACTACTGAGCAACTGAAATATTAGATGGAGGAGACTCATTCGAAGTAGGGGATAAGAGATTTCGAACAGCTATAAAGAGGGGCTTGAACGAAACAGAAAGGGGGGAACATTCGGTGAGAACCATAAATTATCAGGGGAGATCTCGGTGATGAGAAAAAATAGCAAACACGGGGATTTATTATTAGAGTGGAGGAGCAAGCAAAGAAAAAATGAGGGAACAGGATTCATTGACAACATGAGAGGGAAACATACTGTAAAAAAGGGGGGAACAGGATTCATTGACAACATGAGAGGGAAACATACTGTAAAAAAGGGGTTTTGGATTTTATCCATCTTTGTTTCGAAAAATTGTATATCAGGGAGTTTATTTCATGATTTTTCTCTGTAACAAAAGCAAAGCAAATAATAACCAAAGATCAGAATGCTAAGCAATTTTCTTGAGGTATTTTAAAAAAAACCCATTTTCGATTGTTGATGATCTGTTTTGAAATAAATAGCAAAATAAATAGGAAAGAGGGTGTTTTGTGTTTACCTTTTCACCGTTGGTGCCAAACGGTGACCATGTGCATTTCTTTGGTTTCCTAGCCGAGGAAATGGAATGAAGGAGGAGGCAGAGAATTGGGAAGGAATAGAGAGATGCGTCCATGGGGTTTACTTTCAATCTAGGTTAGGCTTAATGTTTAAAATAATATATATATTAAGTCATTAAAATGGTACTGTGAGTGGAGAGAAGAGTCATGTGGCAGGGTACACTTTAATTGGTTTAGTTATTAGGTTTAATTTAATATTCATGTTTTTTTATCTTTTTGATGAAATGGTGTAGTTTAGTTGTGTGCGTGAGTTTAATTTAAGTTTTGTTAAATTATGTTTCATAAATATTTTGGGTAAATTAAGTTATAGTCCCCAAACTTGAACACCCTTTTGTAAATTAGACACTTTCGGATTGCTTTCTAATTTTAGTATGTACTTATTTTGATTTCGTTATTTTCCCAGTTTTATATTATAATGTTTTGGGTTATTTAGTTTCAGGGCCATTTAGTTTTGCATTGCAATCATTTTGGTCCCTAAATCGACATTTTCGTATTTATAATTTTTCCTTTATTTTATGCTCATTTAATTTCAGTCCAAAATATTATTATATTTAATTGTTACTGTTTTAGACATTAACTTCTGCACATTACATTTTGGTCTTGAGAGTATTTAGATTTGTTATATTTTTAGTCATTTATATTAATCATAGTTTCATTTTAATTTTAGTATGTAAATTCGCATAGTTGTTTTTTATATAGATTGTTATTTTTGTAGTTAAGGAAGTAAATTTCTATTTTATTATTTAGCTCTTGTTTTAAGTATGATCAGTTTTTTAATTTGTACATTGAAATCTTGTGTTTATGTTTTTAGTCATTTTGTATTACTATTTTTAATACGCATATATATATATATATATATATATATATATATATATAATTATTAATATTAGTTAAATTATTTATTTAATTTTTGATTATTTTACTTTATAGGATATTTACGTACTTATTAATTTTTAAATAATTTAATTAGTTAATTAGTTTTATATGTAATCTTATGTTATTGAATCCTTTAATTTCATTTTTAACGGATTTTCTTTAAGTTATTAATTTAAAGAAAATTAATTAAATTTTTAATAAATGGATCATAGTTTAACTTTTTATTCGATTTGTAATTTCTACCATTACGACAACATGTAAGCGACACAGAACTAATTTTGGGCGCTGTGGGGGTGCTAATCCTTCTCCACGCGTAACCGACTCCCGAACCCATTTTAATCAAATATTTAGTAAACGCATACCAACTTTTTGTCTTAAAAATTATTTTTCTTTAAATTGTTTTTAAAAGACATTTTTAGGTGTTCGACCTACCTAAATTAAAGGTTGATGGCGGCTCTTTTCAATTTAATTCAAAATCACCGAATTTTCTAAAATTAAAGTCGTGACTATTTTTTAAAACAATTAAACGATTGTCCCCGCCAAAAAACGGTTACGACAGTATAGAAGAAAAGGACAAAAAACTGGAACTCAAAATTTCTATTTGTCTCTTCCCCTGCTGGTTGTTTGTGTGGTATTTATATATTTTTTTTCTTTTTACTCTTTTCATTTTTATATCCATTTTTTAACTATTTTAAAACACTTACAAACAAAATGTATATTATTTTCTTTAGTCCTTTACTTTCACATTGTTATTTATTTTCTTTAGTCAAATGTATTTGTGTAAGAATTGATTCTCTTCTCCACTCGGATGGCTTTAAAAATTATCTCTGTAACAGGAACATTTCCATGCGGATGAACCTGGCAAACATGGTCAAGATGGTATTTTGTGCTTCTGATGATGGTGATATTATCACTGTTAAAGCTGATGATGGTGCTGATACCGTCACCTTCACGTTCGATAGCCCTAGTAACCTACAACTTCAACCATTTTCTTCTCTTTTTCCATTGTTTTTGGTGGAATTCTTCGAAAGAATGATTTGGTTTTGTTGTTTGGTTGCCAAGAAAATCTAGAGAAAAGGCATCTTTTAAAAGGAAGGTTTTAGGACATTGTTCTTTCACTGAATTTATGTTAAATTATGGAGTTTTTCTTATTGATTTGGTGGCTATTCTTTCTTGGTTTCTCCACCAAGGGTGATATTTGGACAGCCAATATCACTTGCAAGAAAACCACACCTGCAGTTAAGGTAAAATTCTGTTATATCTTTCATCAAAACACTTGATTGCTTTAAAAACCGGAAGATGATAAGGACGGACTTATGATTTTATGTTAGGGGAGAGAACGTGAACTTAGGGGGATGAATTTGAATTTATAAAATTTAAGAGGACGAAACAGATTTTCAATAAATAGAAAAAATCTAAAATATATAATAATTTTAAATTTACAGGGGTAACTGCCCCCAACCGCTTCCGTTCATCCCTGAGATGATGAGTTGTTTAAAGTATTAACAAGAGGGAGAAATTATTTCCATAGATATAAAGGAGTCAAGTTTGCGAACCTTTGCATTGAGATACTTGATTTTGTTCACAAAGGCAACCCGATCATCTAAGGAAGTGACGATCAACATGTAGCCTGATATTCCGATTGCAGTCTTGTACAAGAGGGAAAACATGGGTTACACTAGGTTGTACTTGGCTCCCCGTGTTGTAGAAGAGGTGGCTAGACCTTCCGAGAGTGAGCGTAAAGTAAATTCCGAGACTAAAGATGATGTCGAGCCGCCTGAGATGGAGATCAAGTCCAGAAAAGCGTCCAATCTCGGAGAAGGAAATGAAGTAAAGGTTGAAGAAGAAGCTAAGCTGGAGAAGGTCAAAGGTGATAATGAAAGCTAAGGTTGGAAACGCTGGGTTTAATGGGTGCTGATGACATGCATCATGCTATGGAACCCTTAATATGGCACAACAATAGTGATTTTGATGATTCTGAACATCCCTAGTTAATGTTTGGGATTTAGAATAGAAAGATTTTAGGAAATGATAGGTTTAATGATGCCATGGTTATTAGTGCATGAAAGCTTTGACTTGGGCAAATGTTGACAGTAGGGTTTTTTTTTCTTTTTTTTCTTTTCTAGTTTGTGAATGTGCATGAAAAATGATTTTTGGAAATTTGCTGCATTCTTATCATTCTTACAATGTTGCAAAGGTACAAATCAAACAAAAAAAAGGTGATAAACTAATGTGTCGAAACCAGTGGTTCGAAAATAGTCATGACAAAATTTTTTTGTTTTGAAAACGATTGAATACATATAAATTGGGTACAACTAGATAAAATAAGGTTCGAGAGTCAATTACGTGTGAGGAAGTTTAAAGCACCTCACGATGCCAAAAAATTGGCACCTTTAGAAAATACACGATGTTCATTTTTAGAAGAATTACGAATACGAATTTAACTTAATTTTAACCTCACATATGAATACAAATTTTAAAGAAATATAGTCGTTCTCGTTTGGAAGCAATAATTTATGTTTATACCCATTTAAAAAGTATGCCCACATAATTTCAAGAGGATGTCATCCTGTTACGTAAAAAGGTCGAAATCCAACTACTTAGGACACAACCTCTTTTAGCCGACATAACAAAATCACATTGCCTCGATTTTTAAAAGATGGAAACAATTTTCGTGACAAGCAATTTTTGAAAATAAAAAATATTGCATGAAAAGAACACATCATTAGTAGCCACATATTCAAAATAAATTAGTAAATAATCAGGCAAGTTAACTAACAAAGAAACCGAAGCAAATTTTTAATCAATTTCGAATCCTGATCTAAAATGGAATTAATTAAGAATTTTAAGCCACATTTAATACATCTTCAATTCATGGATTAAACCAGATTGATTAAAAACTAGGCCAATGTTCATTAATCAATTTCTAAATTATGAACAAAATTAGAATCAATTAATTGAAGTCAAATTTATTAACTAATTTCAAATTTGAGACCAAATGGAACTAATCGATAAATTCATAATGAACCTAATTAATAATTAAAGACAAATTAATTAATAAAGCTTTAATTCAGACCTAAATGAAACTAATCACGAATTACAAATTAAATATATGAAATCAAAACTTGCAAACAGGACTGAAATGGAATATATTCAAAGATGGCACGACTGCACCAAGAATTAACCCTTTATACCCCAAACACACGCGGTTGCATGAAACAAATGGATTAGTTTTTTTCTAAAACCCATGAATCTTATATTTAATATATATTTTAACATTAAATTCACTTTGCACAGCAGCCGCATATCTCAAACTTAAAGACAATGAGAAAAATGAAAATCTTAGCCCTTTTACCTTCGAGTACGTGAGATTGAACCGTTGGATCGAGTCGTAGTCAAGGTATGTTGATCCTGGCGTTGCCTTCTACTTGTTGACCATTCGGATCGATGAACGGAGCCTCCGACCACCAAGAGTCACAGTCGTCGAAAGGTAAAGTCAATCGTTCTCATGTTTGCTTTTCTTGAACTTCCTCTCCTTGGGTTCTTTAGCCACGTTGTTTGTTTCTTTTGGATTTGGGTCGCCGTTTGTTGGTCTTGGGGTCAATGGTTGGTTCGGCTATGAACACATGGAAGTAGTGAAGGTTTCATTGTTAGTCTTGAGATGAGGTGTTACACCGGTGGCCATCAAGTAGCGATTTTAGGCTTTCTTAGTTGATTATTGGCTTTGACTTCTGAGAAAGTCTCTATGGTAGTATAATGGATAGTTTGGTGTTGCTGTAAAGTGTTCGAACGTCACGATGAAAGGGTGAGTGAGGCTCGATTATGGCGTTACCTAGAATTTTTTATAATGTATTATATTGCCCAATTATTTGAAATATTTTTTTTAATTTATGAGCATGCTCTTAAAATTTAGTTATTTTTTAATATTTATTATTAGAGACTCATTTTTTTCAATACTTATTATTACGAAGCTATCTTTAAAATTTATTTTTTTCAACACTTATTATTATGAACAATTATTTAAATAGCATTATGTAACAACAACAATACTTGTTATGCAGTAATAATGACATCGTCTCAAACTACAATATCAACAATCGTTTTAACTACAATAGTATATTTTATTAGAAATTCACAACCACAATACTTGCAGGCAGTGACTGCAATATCTTCTGTTATGTTTACGATAATGAAAAATACAACGTGATTAAATATAAATATAAATTGTAATTTAAATATATGGGGGCTTAATTTTTTAGTTCGCTTAGGGCCATTAAAATCTCATAAACGGGTCTGCCAGTCGAGAATAGGCAATGGACTGTGTCAACGACATTGGCAGTAAGGTGATGTGTTGGCTTGGCTTAGGTTCGGGCAATGGAAGCTCAATGAGTAAGGCCGACGCAAGGGTATACTACTTGGTAGTTTCAAGCCATGGCCAAGAGGCCATAGCACCTCTCTTTAATTCCTTTTTCTTTCTTTTGCTATGTTCTTCCCTCTCTTTTTCTTGAACACTGCTTATGGTTTATATAAGGTAAAAATATAGTCGTTTGGATGTTGCACCGACCATATATTGAGGGATTCCAGCCAGAAGTTCAGACGTTGTTTAAATGGTTGAGATACGTGGGGGGAGATGTTGGACGAGTTTGACTTGGATTTTTTACCAGATCCGGTTTAATTTGGGTTTTGGTATTTTTAGGGGTAAATGGGTCTTGGTCATTAAGTTTGGGTTTAGATTATGGGCCTAACAATTAAGCTTGGACAAAATTTGGTAATGAAAAAATGTATTTTCTTTTTCATTAATCAATAAAAGGCTTAATATATAAAAACTGCACGAATTATATTTTTTTAAGTGGTATTTAAATTTTTTCCGATCAATCTAGATGGTTAATTTTATCATTTTAAGTGCTCTGATTAGGGATAGGTTTGGGTTTGGTTGCATTTTTGTTCAACCCAACTTCGAACCGAAAATGAAAAGACATCACCGACTCCGACCCGATTATTAAAGGCATTTCAGCCGCCCCGAATCTGCCTCAAAATTTAAGGAGAAAACCCGACTCCACACCAACTCGACCCAAAATATGGTGCAAACTGCAAACACTGATGAAAAAGCTTGCATGCCCAACAATAGATGTTTGCAGTTAACAATTTTGCAGGATCTAAAAATAAAAGAAGAAAAAAGATCTAATAAAAGAAAATTGAAGTGGAATAATCTTGTAAGATAAATCTTTTCAACTCCTAAACTTATTGATCGAAAAAATCACAAAAAAACAATCAAAAAAATTCTGATATTTTTTTAATATAACTTCTTATTCTCTCAAAAAGTTATACCTTGATTTTAAGAACAAAAGAAAATATCAGAATAAAAAATAAAAGAAAAAGCAAAGAACAAAATCAAGAACAAAAGAAAAGCTTGATTTAAGAATTGAAAACGAGAATGAATAGTTTGATTTTAAATATAAAAATACAAAAGAAAAAGAGAAGAAAAAAGTTAGGAGGCTGGAGGAAATAAGGAAGGGGGAGAAGAGAGAATGAAACGGCTGGAAGGATAAGATATAAAAAAAACCCTAAATGACATATATACAATGGCATTTATGTAAATACATTGATAACATATTATTTATTCCACGTTGGGTCGGTTATTTTTTACCTCAAACCCTAACCCAACAATCTCCCTATCAAAACCTAACTCGAAGCGACCTATCGGGTACGGGTTGTTTTTCTATCCCTAACTCCGATCCTGATGACTGTTAAAAAGGTTTGGTAAGTAACATGTCACATTTATATTTTTCTAAATTTTTATTATTAAAAAATAAAAAAAATATTTTTTTGAATTAATCAATGATATATAATCTTTTGACCGATTAATTAAGATCGAGTACTGCATAGGTGAGGGTAGGGCTGTAAATGAGACGAGACAGATTGCGAGCTACTCGAGATTGACTCGATCTTGGCTCGATAAATACTCGGATCGAATGGACTCGACTCGAGTTCTTAAAGAGCCGAAACGAGCTACTCGATATTCGACTCGAAAAGCTCGTGTGCAGCTCGAAAAAATGTTATATTATAATTTTAGATTTTTTTAAATTACATTATTAAAAATATATTAAAAATACATTATTGATGAATAAATATTCTTGAATTGAAAATGGTTAAAAATTATTTTTGAATAAATATTCTTATATTTATTTTAAATTAATAAAAAAATATTTATCTAATGACAAATGTTTAATATATTTCTAAATTCTAATGATAATATTTATAATAGCTAATTTTTTAAATTGTTGTTATATTTTGAGGTTTTGGGTTCAAATATCATAAATATCAAGGGTTTGAGCATTTAATATCAAGATACTATATTGTACTTACCTCATAACTAATTATGTGATAAGATTTAGGGTTTAGGGTTTAGAGTTTAGAGTTTATGTGATGGGATTTAAGGTTTAGGGTTTAGGGTTTAGGGTTTATGTATTATAGGTTAGGGTTTAGGATTTAAGTTATATACATGAAGGTAACATACAAATTATGCAAAATGATATTATGTGACTCATAAATAAATCATTCACATACTTATACTTAAACATATCAACATGCAAAATAAATATACACAACTAATTAAAGAAAACAATCCTAAACATGGACTAAATTAAGAAAAACCTAAATGTGAAGACTAATTTAAGCTAAAATTTAAATAATTTAGGGACTGTTTTGTACAAAACGCATAAATATAGTGTGCCTAAAATGAATTTACCCCTAAGGTTACAGTGGCTAAACGATAATTAATCCCAAAATTAAAAATATAGTAACATCTCTAAAAGCCGCTGTCGCGTTTTGTATCCCTTTGGTGATTCCACCGCATCGCAACCAAGGAGAAAGATTTTTGCTTAGCCATGGCGGACAAGGCAGTGACTATTAGGACAAGGAAGTTCATTTAATTAAGCTACTTTCCAGGAAACCATTTATCATTGATGTTTTGCATCCTGGGAGGCCCAATGTTTCCAAGGCTGAGCTGAAGGAGAAGCTTAGTAGAATGTATGAGGTGAAGGATCCAAATTCGATCTTTGTGTTCAAGTTCTAGACTCATTTTGGAGGTGGTAAATCTACTGGATTTGGTTTGATATATGATTCTGTCGAGCATGCGAAGAAATACGAGCCTAAATACAGGTTAATCAGGAATGGACTCGATACCAAGGTGGAGAAATCAAGGAAGCAAATAAAGGAAAGGAAGAACAGTGAAGCATCGAAGAAGAAGTAAGGGGAAGGGGGTGAAGGGGATGATGATGAAGAAGAAGAAGAAGAAGAAGTGAGGGCTAAGAACAGTTGTTGTTTACTAGTCTCAAGTGTTTAGGTGTTATTGAACCAGTTTTCCAATTTGTTTCGGAAACCAGATTCCGGTCCGACTATCCTGTTTTGGTTCTTCTTCCAGTGCAGGATTTTAGACTGTTATTTTTGCGAGGAATTTAATTCTCGTACTTTTGTTGTGGGTGCAAGCTAGTGAAAGTATCATTTAAAAATATATTAACATAGCTAGGGGAGAAAGCTTTGTTTTTGAAGAAGAGATCAAAGATGAGAGTGAAAAGAAGCTTGGCAAGTGAGTTATCATGTGACATATCCCACATCGGTGGTTCTTGGAGGAATAAGGGGTAAAGTGAATGTATAAAAGGGGATGGGTTTTCAACAAATAAAAATTAACCCTTCGAGCTTGAATCGAGTTCGAAATTGAGCTCAAAATTGAGCTTCAATCGAGCTCGAGTTTCGAGCTTCAATCGAGCTTCAGTTGAGCTTTTGAATTTTTTTTGAGTTTGAGCCTTTTTGTATTCAAGTCGAGTTTCAATATTATCATTCGAAATCGAGTCGAGCTTAGATTTATAGTTTTCGAGTTCGAGTCGAGCTCAGTAATACTCGAGTTCGACTCGGCTCGTTTACACCCCTAGGTGAGATCAACTCTTCCAACACAGTTTGTTCCATTCCCAGATGTTAAGATTTGAACTCCTAACCTTATTTAAGAGATCTAGTGTCTCATCCCACTAAACCAACCGTTTAAAAGTATTTTTCTAAAAAAAAATCTCCAGGCTTCATCCCGTTCACCTCCACCTTTTGCCTCATCCCGTTCATCCCGTTCAGCTCCTTACTCCACTTGCTTTCTTTTTACCTACGCGAGAAGCAATCACGCACTAAGTATACACTTGGTGAAGCATTTATAACTTTTAAAATAAATCTATCAAAACATATGTATATAGCAAAGTATAAAATATAATGATGATATTAGGTAATAACATATAATATAAAATTTACTTTCAAATCATTTTCCTCGTACTGTAACCTACGAATCAGCAGTTCAGATATAAAACATCTTATATCAAATAAAAATATTCAACGAACGATTTACTTTCAACGAAATCAATTAAATCTGTACTTTTCATATTCATTCAATTCATATGCCCAATGTATAACAAATGATAATGCAAGGTATGCGAATCTTGTCGAGTGTGCGCAATATGCACTCAAAAGTGCACTGTAGATAAATATGCACTTGAAAGTGCCTCATAGATAGTGTACACCATAGGTGCAATATAGAATGTACACGAATGTACCTCGTAGAATGTACATCTAACTTCCTAATCCATGACGACCCGAAGATCGACGAACCAAGGAGTCACATGGAACCATCGGAGTGACTAACCCCAAAATTTTATTTTTAAAATGACATAAACATCCATTTAAAAATTCATCCATAACGTTAATAACAAAATAAATGTATAATATTTGATTTACAAAATACGGGAGCCCCAAAATAAGTTCAAATAATGTTTACAATAATCCTAAGATATATAGTTACGACTCAAATATAAAAGGGTTTATATATATTACATGCTCACTAAAAATATGCTCAAGAAGTACTCAAAAAGTTGGCGTCTATTTGGAAGGTGGTAAATGCAATGTCTTATCAAAAGCTCCTCCTATGGACCTGCACACAAACAAATTTCGAACGTTGAGCTCACAAGCTCAGTGCCACAATAATAACCAAACTATACTACATGCATCCTCTACATGCACATGTTGCTAAACATAACTACTAGCATACAAGTATGCCAAGCTAAATATACACACAGAGGGAGGCATCATGGTGTGGTTGGAGGGTTTCACTATATCTCAGAGACACACACCCCTCTAGCCTACCTAGGGTGAGATTCAGAATTTCTAGATCGAAAACATTCACTCAACCAACCAACTTCTTGCCAGTACTTGGAGCATCTACGCCGGTCGGTAGACAAGTGCCTTGTGTGCTAATTTAATTTTGTCCAAACATTCTAACATACAATTGATCATCCTGTTACTAGAGTAACTCGTGTGTCCGAATCGTTTCCCGAGAATCATACAAGACTAGTATTATGATTCCCTAAGTTATTGGTTTCTAGGTGTGATCTTAATTATTAATAGTGTTTATAGCTAAACATTCATTTTTGTATATGAAAGAAAAATGATTTGGCTTTTACAATAAAATTTAAAGAAAAAACAAATTAAATGAAAAAATAAATGACAATAAAGAAAATCAATTTAGATAAAAAAATATTTAGCATTCAAACAAGTATAGTCAAAATAAATTTAAATCAAAATCTTCCATAAAAAAAGTAATTTGACACCTTTAAAAGGAAAGCATTCGACAGTGGCCATCTAAGTAACGAAATAAGAAATAAGAAACAAAGCTAAAGTTATTTAACATTAAAACATTGAGTGAAGGTGAAGATTTGAAAGAAAAAAATAATGAAGTCATAGAAAAAGGAGAGGAGAGGAGAGGCTGCAGAAGAAGAAAAATGAATGGAAAGAAAACATATATATATATAGGGTGTACGAATCAATTTAACTTAGTGGTTAAATGAATCATTATTATTAATAGAGGTCGCGAGTTCGAGCACCAGCAGCTGCAGTAAGGTGATTGAACGTTCATTGTCAAATGACTGAGTATATATAATATATACTACTTTGTAATTGACTTAGCTTAATTAAAAATATATATAGGGTGATAGTTTTGTAAATGAATTAAACTATATAATATAATTAAAATAATTGGTTGAATTAGGTCAAAGTCATTGTTTAAGCATTTATTTGATGTTTTAGCAATAGCTTAGGGGTAAAGGATCATTTTGTTACAAATGATAACGTTAGTAACCAATTTGTTATTTTTGAAACTTTAGTGGAGAAAACGAAAACTTAATAAAACAGTAGTAACTATTGGTGTTGTTTACCCTTTAATTGTTCATAAAGAAATTAAACATAATTATAGTTAAAAACAGTTTCCAATAATAAATTTTAACTTTTCAAAAATAATAAATTCAAAATTTTTCATATTTTATTTTATTAACTTTTTACATTTTAAATTATATTTACGTGTGACAATGTAATATTGAATTACATGACTTTTAATTAAAAAACAAAAAGGTAAAATAATGCATAAAATTTATAATACAATAATTTTTAATTAATTTGGAGTATGTACAAGACATTATTTGTTCAAATATAATTCTTGAAAGTTCACACTCCAAGCCTCGTACTCGAACCTGAGTCTTCAAATAATTATAACAATTACTTTATCACAGAGTGACGACTTTGTTTGTGATTATAATACAATGATTAAACTTATATATATATATAATTCTTTATATACAAAATAATAATAAGGGTTAATTAACGGTTCCTCACTCTACTTTACTCTCTCTTCTATTTTGCTCACCGAACTTTCGATTTTTCTAATTTGCTCACTGAACTTTACATATTGAATAATTTTGCTCACTCTACCGTTAACCTTTTAACGACATTATGATGTGGCACAAGAATCAAAACGATGTTGTTTTGAAAAACTCAAATATATTCTAAAAAGATGTCGTTTTAGTGAGTAAAATATGATATAGGGTAAAGTTTAATGGCTCATGGTGTAACTTACCCTTTTTCTTAATGACTCATGGTGTAATTTACCTTTTTCCCTTCTCTTCTCCATTTTCTCTCCGCCGACCAGCATGTCGTTTTCATTCTGGCCACCGTCGATCACCGTAGATAGTAGTCGTTCGGTCCTAAAATGGGACACCCTTAGCACGTATATGGTGTTTGTTTCAGCGGAAAAGGTCCCAAAACCTGTGAATTCGGACTGAAATGTTTCAGTTTTCTCACTTGCAATCTCAAATTCGTGGACTTCGGAGAAACTTTTGATAAAATAGTTGTCAGATTTAAACTCACGATGTCGGGTGAAGCAACCCATCCTATTTTGAGACCAAACAACCACCATATACGGCAGTCAACAGTGGTTGGCGATGACATCCAACCACATTATGTTTTTATTTTATATTTTTAATTATTTTATATTAAATAATAATAAAAAATACCATGTTAGAGAGAAAACGAGGTAGTGAGCAAAATGATTCAATTTGTAAATTTTAGTGAGCAAATTAGAAAAATTGAAAGTTCGGTGAGAAAAATAGGTGAGAAAGTAAAGTAGAGTGAGGAACGTAATAATTTACCCATTAATTTAAATATGGTACAGACCAAGATAAACAAGTCCTTTTGCATATAAGCCATTTTTCTAATACCCTTCATCCCATTGTTCGATCTGAACCGACCCATTTGTATACTCGAATTTGTTTACGGTTTTCTCCTTTTCTAAGTTTCGAATCTATTTACAGTGGCGAAGGAGAAGAGCCAGGCACTCGCAATCTGCAGCGCCCATATCTTCCTAACCTTTTCAGGTAACTTTTCATTGTTTTTTTTCCTCCTTCAATTTTCCCTTTAATCTCTTTCATTCCGCAATTTCTTGTTCATTGTGTTTCTACTCATGATCTGTTTCCTCCTTTCAAATTTCATATATTTGAAGTCGTTTATAATTTTTTTTGTTTTTCATGTTTAGATAAAAACCCTGGATCTAATCACTTTAATTCCAAAAGAGCTTTGGTATGTTTAATAGGTTTGAACTTTTAGTCCTAATCTGAATCCCTTTGATATGCTTTTCCGAGTTTACCCTCTTTGCATGTCTAATATGGGGTTTTACTAAATCCTCTTGTTGTTACTGTAGAAATGAAAATAAACCAATTTTCATTGATGTTTAGTTTGCATTTAGAAATTTACTCTTGCTGAAGCTGAAGACTCTGTGATGGTTATGCTTGCTGAGTGTTTAAAGAATCTTTGTTGTTTCTGTTTTTCATGATCTTCATTGCTTGGCCTATATATGGAATGTTTTGAAGTTGAGTTGTCTGAAGATTGATAGAAACTCTTTGTTTATACAGAAAATGGGTTTGTGGACTATATTGGAAGGGTTTTTGCTTCTTGCAAATGCTTTGGCAATATTAAATGAGGATCGTTTTCTTGCTCCGAGAGGATGGAGTTTCTCGGAATTCTCTGCGGGGCGGACAAAGTCATTTAAAGGGCAGCTTATTGGTCTCATTTACGCCACTCAATACATGAGAGTTCCTCTCATACTACTTAATGCAATCTGCATCTTTGTTAAGCTAGTTTCTGGTTGATGATGTTCTAGGTAAGATGCTTATGTCTATGATTGATGCTTGGTTGAATCTTGTATTGGGGTCTCTACCTTAGCCCCCATGTTTCTTTGTAGCAAGAGCATGCTTATTAGTGGGGGATACCCATTTTTGTCAGTTTTGTTTTCTGATTTTGCACAATTTGACTTGGATATAAAACAGGGCCATTGTTAGGTGAGGATGAAACAGAAGCACCTTGTTAATAATCTCTCAAGCTTTTAATTGGTTAATAGTGAAAGTTAAGTCGTAGATTAATTTATCATATTAATGTGGGAAATTCAAATAAGATTTTAGCAATGCAAGTTCTATCTGTATTACATGATCAAAATGTAGCAGGCCAGAGCAGGAATGGCAGATCCTGCCTTTCAAACCTTTTTCCTGTTCTAATAAATTGAGTTCATTTTATGGACATATAAATTAAGTAATTACATCGATCATTCGAATTGGCTATCTATCATACAGAGAGAAGCGGCTTATGGTGGGGATAACTATATTTGTATCTTCATGCTTTTCATTCTTTTGTTTTGTATAAGTTATCTTCGTGCTTTTCTGTTGCTTCATATTTGATTGTTTTTTTTTCATTCAATTGTGAATTATTCTCTTCCCTTTCTGATCTTAAGCATGCCATAGATTTCACCTTTTTGAGGAATGCTAGACATGTTCATCTTGCTATGAATTTAATTGTTGTAGCCGTTCCCGATATTTGTAGAATGTGATTCCATCCGTTCATTATTTGCAGAAGTTTGTGAAGGACAGGCAGTCAGATAAAAAATTAGGTGATATATCTGTTTTGCTCTATTTCAAAAGTTGGTTGATATATCTGTTTTTTCTTATAAGTTTTTTTTCCTCATTTTTAAATTCGAATTTGAGGTTTTGTGATGGGATTTTGTTGCCTGGAATTGTGATAACTGGGATAGGTCTAGCATTTGATTATTTGGAGACTTTGCACTGTCATTTTGAAATATACAATTTACTGTGGCTGGAATTTCTATTATGTTGGCACCACTTGGTGCTTCAAAACATGATTTCAAGTGGAGTTTTCTCATTTTGCATTTGGATACAAGAATCCAAGTTGAATCAAAGGCAAACTTTCCGAAGGTCTTGTTGAAAGCCGGACAGGCGAAATTTCACGGAAATTCTAAAATACTTGTTAACAGAACGCTAAAATGCGGCAAAAAAAATGATTGCAACCGAAAATCCTATGAAGAGTGTAACTTTTTAGGTTGGACAGTGTAACATTTTAGGTTGAAACCGAAAATGTTACCTTCATAATATTTTTAGTTGCAAACCCTAAACCTCCTATAATGTAACCTTTTAGTTGTAATCGAAAATGTTATAAATTTGTTTAACTTTTTAGTTTGAATATGATAACATTTTAAGTTGTAAATTGTGTTAAATTAGATTGTAAAGTAGAATTACCCAAAAAAATAACCTTGCCCGACCCATTGCTCGTGCTCTCCACTAATTCAAATAAGGTCCAAAACCAAAATATTTAACGCGTGATGGATTCTTTGATTTAATATTGTGACAACAAATTCATTTTAAAAATTTGACAAAATAACTGGTCACCATTTACTTTTCATATTTCTTTTCAGTTTTGAGTCACGAGGCGAGATCAATTTTGTTGGAACTGTTTTAACCTCGATCAATATTCTTTGAAAATGCGTGTGTTTTGAAAATAATAGAGTTTGATCGATCATTTTGAGTTGGGTTGGTGCAATCACTTGTACAATCATTTCAAAAATTCTTTTTAAAAAAGGTATTTTTGAAATATGCCCTTAAAAGTAGTGTAAAAGAATTAGATTCAAGAGTTATTACCCATCAAATTATAGCACTTTTATATGTTGTCTCAAACTTTGGAAGTTATGAATTTAAATTTAAAATAGAGGTAATTGTATCATATATCTCTAAACTATGATTCTCATTTTAAATTGTCCCTTAAACTTTTGAGTATTCTAATTTCACCTTAAATTATGACTCTTATTCTAAATTAGTCCTTAAACTTTTGAATATTTTAATTTTATCCCAAAACTATGACCCTCTTTCTAAATTGATTCTCAAACTTTTGAATATTCCATATTTGTCTCCAAATTCATCCAAATATGGAATTAGTTTCAACCATAATTTAACCTAAATTTTTTTTTTCAAACATATAAAAATATAACTGAGCTTAACAATTTTATTAACAATGAATGTTATTAGTATATATGTATAGTTTGGGATAAAATTGGAATGCTCAAAAAGTTTGGGAACTAATTTAGAATGAATGTCATAATTGGGGGGTGAAATTGAAATGTTCAAAAGTTTAAGGTTTAATTTAGAATAATACTTATAATTTAGGAATAAAATTGAAATATTTAAAAATTTAGAGACTAATTTAAAATGAGGGTCACACGTTAAGAACCTGTGATGCAATTAACTCTTTAAAATATCCTCTCTTGAATCAGTGTAAATTTTTATTATTGAAATATTTTTTAAATTAAAATATTTTATTGACATTTTAAAAAATTGAAACATTGTAGATTACACGGTTTTGTAAAGGATCTATTAAAAAGAGGTTTTTGCAAAGGATACTATTTTACTACAAATAATTGAAAGGGTAAACTACATCAATGGTCACTAATGTTTGAGTAAGTTTTCATTTTCCCTAATAAAGTTTCAAAAGTAACAAATTGGTTACTAACATTATCGATTTGTAACAAATCGACCACTCGTCGTTAATTGTCATTACTGTGGGTGACATAAAGGTGATGTGGCGCTTTAACAACTGATTTGGCATTGACTATTATTTTGACCAATATCTCTATTTCATCTCCACACTTTTGTTGTTTCTTGCTTTTCTTCTACTTGGGTTTCAATCCACCTTCTCATTCTCTATCGCTATCATCTTCTTCTTTGAATTATGTTTCTATTTCATCCCTACATTCTAATTGAAGTTGAACCTTAGTTTAAACCCACTTTTTTTTTGCATTCAAAGAGAATGAGGTTGGCGTGAATTGTACAGAAAACCTTTAAATCACCATGGCCATGGATTTGTCAATAATGGTAATGAATTCCTTCACGAATTTGATTCTTCTGATTTCAGATCCACCAGTAGACAAGGAAGAAGAAAAAGAAAGACTTCTTGAAAGAAAACTTGATAGACTTTTCAAATGATCCGTTAAGACTAAAAGAGGAGCCTTGTAACACCCTAAATTTCGGGCTGGTAGTTTCAGGTTTACCCGAGAGGTAAGCGGACCTCGTGAAAATCATAAGTAAATTCGTTGGACTTAATTGGGTATGGATTTGGGCCCAATTAGCCATAAAAAGGGATTTTTTTTAAATATGAAGCCAAATACGGAAGACTAAAAGTGTAATTAGACCATTAAAAGAAAGAAGATGATATTTTTGGCTTTTAAGTGTGTTTTAGACGTGGGTTCCCATCTCTTATTCTTTATTTCTCATTTCTTCTTCCTCCATAGCTAGGGATAATTTAATGTACATGTTTGGGGTTCTTCCATACTCATCTGAGCTTCAAAATTCATCCATAATCCTCCTCATTTCAATCTCATGCTAAGAATCATTATCTTTATTTTTGGTTTGGGGAAAAAGGTTGGAAAATAAACCAAGTTAAAAAGGAAAATGCTTGATAGCTAAAGGAGCTTCATTTCTCAATCCTAGTATCAAGGTAGTGTATTTCTAATCCTTTGGAGTATTAAGCTTTCATAAGTTTCAAGTATTTGCTAAGATTTTTGTAGTTGAGCATAATAGGGTTTAAATTTGATTTCAAGACTAAAAGATGTTTTAGGTGTTATTAATGTGTTTTATGACACCTAAGAACCCTAATTAACTCTTTAAAACTTCAGTGCATGATTTAGAATCAAACTATGGCCTTTAGGATGATTTTTGAGTATTTTTAGTCTAAAATAACTATTTTAGGGTCTAAGTATCAATAATGGGATGAACAATATTGATACTAGATGAATTGGGGCAAAACTTAGGTATTTGGGTTGGGACTATCAATATTACCAAGGGGAGTATCGACATTGCCCTTGCAATATTGATATTCAGGGTGACAGTATCGATATCGAGGCCCCATTTTTGCAACAAAATGCATTTTTGGTACCGATACTCATAGGGGTATCGATACTTGACCCTAGAGTATCGATCTACTAACTCTGAATGGTTAGATTTGACCCGTTTAAGGCCAATAAGCAAAATACAATCCATAATAGTAAGACTTAGCCCTTGAGGAACATAAATGACCAAGCATACCTAGAAACACTCATAGGAGTAGGTTACATCAAGAGTAACCATATTAAGCATAATACACTGAAGTATCTTCAATCGAGGACGTATATGGATAGATGGGACCGAATATTGTTATAGGAGATATCTGATAAGCGGGACGTTGAACATGTCAGATTCAGTGGTAGCAAAAAGCATGAACTTCGAGTATATCAGTGAACACAGGAAGAATAAGTCCTATTTTTCAGTTCAAGAAGTTTTGAAGAGAAGTATGATAAGGTCGAACAGAGTACCACTACTCAGAAATGAACCTGAGCTAGATATCAGGCTAGCTAATTCCACAGTTAATAAGTAAGCCTTCATATAGAGTTCTAGATGAGAGAACGAGCGAGATAGCAACTAGTATGACGTTGAATTCACTTAGGTGAGTCCAGCTATGTTAAAGTATACCCAGGTTACCTTAGTTGCCCTATTGGGGCATTTTTAGTGCGCGACACACTTCAGGGGATAACTAGGGTGCGAGGCATGAACACACACAAGGAGTGGGTTAGTGATGTCACTGTTATGTGGCCCGTGGGCCTTAGATATGCATGGGTAGTTATGTCAGTCCGCTTCAGTTGGGTAAGCTTCCGATGCATGTAAATTCTGGTTCTTACCCCTAAGATATTTCATATTCAAGGTAGGTTGGGGTGTTGTTTTGAGATGCAAATAAAATTCCTCTGACCACACCACTAGACATACCTCATGTTTGCTTGTTTAAGTCATGCATGTATAGTCCCATTAGTCTGGTATGTTAGATATGTTAAAGATTGGCTTCAAGTCTATGTGAGACCAAGCCAATGTTTCAGTTTGTATGAGAATTGTACCGATACTATGTGACACTGGGTTCCCTTTAGTGATCTACCTGATGGCTATGCGAGGACCATGAGATCATTCCATATGTTAGTGGGAATTACGCCGATGCTATAAAACATTGAAGTTCCCTCAGTAACTAGTGTCTGATAGTTATGTGAGACCATATACTAGTCAGGTTTGCATTTAGATAACACATATTATGTCAGGTTCACATTCATATGATTCACAAGAGTATTAGTTTCACATTTAGATAATGCGTAGCATGTTCAGTCGTTAAGATTAGAGACCCTTCAGAGGCGTTCTCATGGCGAGGCCCTTAGCAGAGGATTAAGGGAAGCGTGAGACTCCTACTTCAGTGATAGAAAAAAAAAGCCTTAAGTAGGTAGCACTTGATCTAGATCATGTATGTACCTACTGCTTAGTACCATGTCTTCAACATGCTTATGTTAATGAAATTCTTATACTGTTATATTAGTGATTATACTGCTAGGCTTTGTAAGCTCAACCTTCAACTGTTTTTCGTTTACAGGTTTTGTAGTTTGGGCAGTTTGTAGAGCCCTGTCACAACATGACTCCTTTAATACCCCAAATTTTGGTTGGTAACTAAAATGTAATTTTTGAAAGTTTAGTAGCTAAAGTATAAACTTTGCAAAAGTTTAGGGATAAAAATGTAATTTTAAAAAGTTATATAATTTGGCCCATAAATGAATAGTTTGTCCCTAAATAATTGTATTCTTGAGAATCAGAATTTTGATTCAAGATTTGTATTAAAAGCTATAAAGTAGTAAACCCCGATAAGAAATCAAATAAATAGATCGAACCAGAATTTCACAAAAAATTGAAGGATGCTAGATAAAGATTGGAAATATTATATCCATATTTTAGAACAATGAAATTTAGCATGGATCAGTCGAATTGAA